ACTGTAATATAAAACAACCGTGTATACATAACCTTATAAAAATCTCCATACCTAGTAACATATGAAGCGACGACGTAGTGTGCTCTAGTTTATACTTTTCACAAGACAGTATCTCAAATTGTCTCTCCAAATTGGTCAATTCAACTGAGAAAGAAAGAAAACAAAGAGTTTGAAGAAAAAAGTTGGCAATGCTAAACTACTACAGCTACCCACAATAATAGAACAATTATTTCATAAACTGCAACCCACAAGCCACTAATGCGTGACATATAAGACATTGAAACATATAAAAAATGAAATCTAATAAAATAATAAAAAGTAACATGAGCAAGACCTAAAAATCGTTGACCAACATTTTTTATCCAGAAAGTCTTGGGTATTTGAGATTGAGGAGTTTTTTATAAATTCAGTTACAAGTTGATTTATAGAACTTCATGTTTATGATTAAAATCGTTCATTTATAAATTACTTTGTAGAGATTTTTTCTATAAAAAAAACAATTAAAATTAAGGTTGTTTAGTTTATCAATTATAGCAAATAGATCAACCGTTCGTAATTCTTTTACCAAATTCGTCTATCTATCAATATACAACTCGATCACTAAATGTTCTCATCTTTAGTTAATATTTTGCAAAAATGATCTTTACAGAGTGATTTATAATATGAACGATTTCGATTATAAGTATGAAGTTTCATAAACCAGCCACGTAGTGTATTGAGGAGTCAAATTTATTCTCTTTTGGTTTACCTTGAAACTGGCACGTATCATTGATGTTTCACTTACATTGTAAGAGCAACTACACCCTTCCACAAATGAGCTAGGCAACAACCCATTTTTCGCCCCTAGCCCCCCAAAAACCCACTACACCACATCCAATTAGTTGGCCCAAAGTGGAGGCCATCTTTGAGCCCAGCCTAGAATGGACTGGCCCAAAAATTGGCCCACATGACGCCAGGCTGACGTCAGCCATGTGAATTTTTTTTTTTTTTTTTGCTACTGGGGCATGGGAAACATGCACGCGTACCCGAAAGCACATAATAGGGCCCTCGTTGCATCTAATAGGGATGCAGGACTTGGGCCACGTGGCGCAGTGATGGCCATTGGATTTCCAATTGCTAGTTTTTTGGACCGTTGAATTTCCAATGGTCAAAAAAATTGAATTTGAAATATAACGGCTAGTGACGTGGCAAACTCTGGACCGTTCAATTTTGAGATCAACAATCCAGGTTTTTCGGCCGAAATTTTTTTCTTTTTAAAATTAGGAAAATGCCAGAAATCTTACCGTTGGCCATGTATCCAATTTTGGGCTATTGGATTTCAATCTTTTTGAAATTCAATGGTCCATATTAATTAACTTAATAAAAATTGTTAAAAAATACAGAAAAAATAAAACGAAAATTTATTATTTTTTTTCTATAAATACCTAACCATCATCCACCCTACACCACATTTCAATATTTCAACACTTTCATCCAAGGTTTCATATACTTTTGTGTGCAAAAAAATGGCTAATTGGACCCTCATCGAAGATGTTACGTTGTGTGAATGATGGGTTAAAGCTACTCATGACCCGATTACGAGTAATGAGAAGCAGTTACGAGAACTTTGGAGTAAAATTAATATCGTTTTGCGAGAAGCTTGGAAAAGGCTAAAGAAGTGCTCAAGGTCTTCAAGGTCGTTGGAAAAAAAACTCAACCAATCGTTTACTTGTTGGAAAAAAAGCCTTCTTTCAAGCTACCAATAATCTGATTAGTGGCAGAAGTTTAGCGGATCAGGTGACAATATTTTTATTTATTTATTTGTATTACAACCACATTATATAATATTGTCTTATCCCGCATTAATTACCTCGATTATAAAATTGTTTTCTCCCACATTTTATAGACACTTCAAGCACAAGTTTGGTACAATGCTAACAACAAAAACAAATCATCTACCGTCAAAAATATTGGAATGTTGTCAAAGATTGTCCCAGATACAAAATTGTGTCAACCAGTCCAGAAGTTGTCATGCACGACATCCCTCTAGACTCTTGGCCAAAAGCAGACCCGGACCAACAGGAAGGCGATGCATTTGAAGTGCCAAAAGGGACGCCTGAAGTGACTATACAAAATATATGGAGTCCGTCCCTATGGCCTCAAGATAAAAAGGCAGCAAAGAAAAAAAGGAGTTCTTCCAAAAGTGACTATACAAAATATATGGATGAACTTGCTCGTCATGGTGAACTAAACTTGGCGCAGGACGCATCTAGAAATGAGGCAAAAGCTGCGAATATGCAAGCAATCTTAGCAGCTACTGAGAGATGTGATGTGGCTAATGAGAGACAAAGACAACTACTTAATCAAGAAATGGAGATGCTTAGAGAAGAAAGGATGGCTCAACAAGATCGTGACACTATGAACAAGCCTTTAGAAGGAATGACTCTGAATTCTAAATATTTTTTGTCATCAGAAAAAGAGTACGTGGCACGAAAAAGGCGTGGAAGAAACGAAGGGACAAGTGGAGGGGGTCCTAGCTACACAAATCCTAGCAACAAAGATCCCAGCAACACATATCCTAGCTACTCAAACTTTATGTAATTTCGTATTTATTTTTAGTATTTTATGTAATTTCTTATTTATTTTTAGTACTTTATGTAATTTCTTATTTATTAAATTGGGTACTTTACTTAAACTAAGAGCATGTTTATTCAAACAAAATAAAACTACAAAAGCACACCAAATAAACTAAAAAAAAAACACACCAAATAAAATTATATAAAAACACCAAATAAAATTACATAAACATACCAAATAAACTTAAAAAACACAAAAAAATAAAATTATATAAACACACCAAAATTGTACTTTTGGATAATGACACATGGCATGATAATATTGGTAAAAAATCATATCCGAAATTAAAAATAAAATTATTTTTTATTATTTAAAAAATAATAATATTTTAATACGAATTGACTAGGCAATTTAGTTTAGGAGTGGAGGTACACTTGGGCAGTTACTACTCACTGTAGTCAATTACTATTCATTTGGGTGAACTGAATTGACTCTTGACTAGGGGTTTTTAGGGGTGAACTTGCTCTAACATAAAGACTTGTTTTTTTATTAGGCAGAGGTGAAACATAACAAACCATATCGATCACTTTATTACATTATGGAGATATATACTACCAGAACTGTGTTTCTAAGAAATTTTATGTAATATTATGTAGCACTGAATGATCTACAAAATAAATACTGAGATTCAAAGTATAAATCTAAATCGTTTTGAAAATCAAATTTAACAGTTGAAACACCTATAATATTGAATGATATGTAACATTAAAACCACTCTGCTTCTAGTAACTTTTCTCCAAACAAAAGTTGTTTGTTTGCATCCTTTAAAATCTCAACTGAGGTTCGCCTTCAATTTAATTTTGTCAAAGGATTGACTTATTTTTCAATGGAGACAGGAGTGACATAGCTACAATCTTTAATGTGCATTGAAGAAATCTGTTACATGGGTAAGATGATGTCCAATAAACTCCAAAAGCACGAGCTTCGATTTAACTATGAATTTTGGTCAATTTTTGAGGTCTCATTTGTCCTCGAGTCACTTTCCCAGCAGATTCATGGGTGTCTTTGGATACTTTCCCAAGATATGTACGTAAGTAAATGTTAAATTATCATATTCTATACAACAAAGCTTAGCTGCTTAAAAATAAGCATGAGCTACTGCTCTCATTCAATAACAACTTAACAAGTATCTAAGTTATTAGTTCAAATTCTAATTGTTCAATTTTTTTGAACATTTGTCAAGTTGTTATTGTATGAAAGCAGAAGTTGCTGCTTATTAAGCAGCAAAGCTTTGTTCTATTTTATAATACTTTGGAGAACTCCATGATTTTGTATCTCCGCATCCGCATGGCCATTACCCTATTCCAAAACTTCAACTAACCAAAGAAAAATATCGGATAGTGAAGTTGTGAAAAGTATTAGCTTTTCACATTATGCACAAAAAATAAATAGAGATCACATCAACCATGTGCGTATAAAATAACATATTCATATTTAACCAGCTATTTATTAGGAAAATTACTGAAAATGACTTGAAAACTTTAAGTTTTAACGAAAATGATAAAATAAAGAGTAAAGTGAATAATACCATGATTGACTTTTTAGTGTAAAAATGTGGTTTTTCGTTAAAGTGAATAGTACCATGAACTTTTCGTTAAAATTCTCTTATTTATTTGATGTATTCAAATTATGAAACGATCTTTTTATTCAAATGATCTTTAAGTAAAAATTAAAAAATTGAACCGTTTTGATTGTATAATTTGTACAATAAATATACTTTGAAGGAATACAAGTAAGTACTATAAAAAAAAAAACGAAGTTAGCTTTTATGGTACAATACTCTCATTAAGTCATTCTCATCCCCACCTTCTTCCTTAAATTGCAAAGGAAAAAAAAATAACAACAAAGTCTTATTTCATTATAAAGGGAGAGGGGGGAAAGCAACCCAAAAACTCTTAGGAAGTCTCTTATTCTAATACTACTTTCGTCCAATCTTGCTTAACTTCGAAATGAGGAGGAGGGGGAATGCAACCCAAAAACTCTCAGGAAGTCCCTTATTCTAATACTACTCTCGTCCAATCTCGCTTAACTTGGAAATGGGAAGGGGGAGGGGAGAACGCAACCCAAAAACTCTTAGGAAGTCCCTTATTCTAATACTACTCTCGTCCAATCTCACTTAACTTCGAAATTTTGATGGGATCCAATGAATTCGATAGGTTGACCAATTTCATAGTTGGGTGTGGTGGAATTCATCATATTCTTCATTTTTGGGTTTGACTATATATCCATGGCGTAGATAGTTGGACAGGTTCAGTTTCGTGTCAACCTGTGTGAGAGAGAAAGATGTGAGTTTCTTCTGGAACTACTACTTCTATATATTATTGTTGTCAACTTCAGAAGTTGGTTGAATTCTCTTCTTTTTATCCAAACTTTGAATTCTCTTCTTCCTACATTGCCTAACCATTAAAGCTTTGCCAACCGCCTACTTTATTATTCACATACATAAAAAAGAAAGAGAAAGCCAAGCAAGAAAAGAAACCTGTGCAGTTCTCACCAACCCTCCCAACCTCCCAACCCTTTTCAAATTATTGGAGAAATAATTGACAGAGGTATTTTCTTTCTTTGAGATTTAGGGTTTAATATTTGGTTCTTTCATTCTTTCGTTGTTCTTTCCTTGGTTTTTACTCATCTGGGTCAGGATTTCTGTAACCATTTTTGTCTGTTGCTTTCTCTGCAAGTTAGTTTTTTGTTCCATCCTGATTTCCCATATAGGTTTTCACTCTTTTGTTCTTCTCTTTAATCTGACAACCATTTGTGATTTCATCTCTTTTTTCATCAGGGTTTTGCATAATTAATCTGTTTATTCAATCTGTGGTTTCATTGAATTACTGCATTTCTGTACTATGATTCTTAATTATTTAATTTTTTTTAAGTAAACATTTTCTCTGTGATTTGCTTGATTTTTTTGTTCTAGTATTTTAGCATATTTATTTTAAAACTTGGGAATTTTAATCGAGTTTTGATCAAGAACAGAGTGTTGATTCTTTCTTATATTCATGTGAGAATTCAGTGGTAGGTTTAATTTTCGACAAACGATTCAATGGCAGGCGGAGGGAATTGCTGTAGGATTCTAGACAATGAAGTGCTTCTACTATTTCAAGGACAAAGCTAGGAGCAGGGAACAAAGATCTGCTCCAGAACTGAAAGAAGAAACAAAATCGGATTATTCAGGTGGCGGCGACAGGGTCATTAAGTCCACCTGTTCCGCGAATTCACCCCGCGGTATCCCAGAAATGTACGAAGAGAAGGCTCATAATTTGCGGGCGTTTACATTCGCGGAGCTCAGGCAGGCAACAAATGACTTCAGTAGGCTGCTTAAGATCGGAGAAGGCGGATTTGGGAATGTATACAGAGGTTCAATTAAGGCCGCTGATGACAAGGGCAGCGATCCAGTCGTTGTCGCCATTAAAAAGCTTAACAATGATGGCTTACAGGTATGGAAGTTTAAGCATCTTCCTAGTAATTGAATCTCTTTACATATTTCTTATAATTCTCTGTTTTCTCACACAGGGTCACAAGCAGTGGGTGGCCGAAGTTCAATTTTTGAGTGTTGTGGAGCACCCGAATCTTGTCAAACTAATCGGATACTGTGCTGTTGATGGAGAAAGAGGGATTCAACGACTGCTTGTCTATGAATTCATGCCCAACCGAAGTTTAGAAGATCATCTGTTCAACAAGGTGTACTCAACCGTACCTTGGGAGACAAGGTTACAGATAATACTTGGAGCAGCTCAAGGATTGGCGTATCTGCACCAAGGATTGGAAGTTCAGGTTAGCTCTAAACATCGATATTGAAAATCGGTTTTTACAAACCAACCTACTTATGTTCTTGAAGTTTCATGTCGGTTGTTTTAAACTCCCAGATCTTTCATGTGATGTTGGGATGGATCAGGCATATTTTGAATATGTAGCCCTCTGCTCATGTCACATTACAGACTTTATCCTTCGTAAGATCTACGCTCACTTTCTGGTTCTGGGGGTGAGGCGGATATCCGAATTTCAGAATGTACTTCCCTTCTTTGCATAAGGCCAACCCGGAAATTTTTCATTGACCCCTCTTCCACATCGATTTTTTATGCCCCATCTCTGCACCCCATTCCCTGCGCCAACCGTTCCATTAGTTTTATTCTCTGCAAGACAGACTACAGTACGATCTTCTTGCTATTTTCAACATTTCCGGCTTATTCGTAATCGTTGTTATTCCGATGTTTCTTATGCTGTTGATGAAGGTAATCTATCGAGATTTCAAATGCGCAAATGTGTTACTGGATGACAACTTTAAACCGAAGCTTTCGGACTTTGGGCTTGCTAGGGAGGGGCCAATGGTTGGCCATACTCATGTTTCAACTGCAGTAAGTATTGCATTCACTTATTTCTCACCAGCATTTGTAGCTTGTATACTAGCCTACCTATGCAAACTCTGGTTCGAAAAAAGTTAAATGAATTTTTCTCATGATCAGGTAGTGGGGACTTATGGGTACGCTGCTCCAGATTACATCGAGACAGGCCATCTCACAGCGAAGAGTGATGTCTGGAGTTTCGGTGTGGTGCTGTATGAGATTCTTACGGGCAGGCGATCACTGGAGAGAAACCGGCCAAGAACAGAACAGAAACTTTTGGAATGGGTGAAACAGTTCCCTTGTGATGGAAAAAAGTTTGGCTTGATAATGGATAGCAGGCTGGAAAACAAGTATTCTATCACCGCGGCAAGAAAGATAGCTAATCTGGCCGAAAGTTGCCTGTCAAAGAGCGCAAAAGATCGGCCAACAATGAGTCAGGTAGTAGACAAACTGAAGCAGATTATCCAAGACTCCGAAGAGGGAATCCCATCCGACAGAAGTTCTGAATCCGTTGAGAATGACCAAGCCGACTCGGTAACAAAGCCGAGACAGTTGGAGGCCTCAGAGTCATGGCAGAGGCGAATGGCTCACCTGGCCAAACTAGGCGAGCATGTGGAGAGCGCTAGTAGAAGAAGATTCATGATTATGCAGAGGGCAAGGGTGACATGATGGATAATTCCCCAGGCGTAGTTGTAACTTGTTTTCGGGTCGTTTCTGAGATCAAATGATGAGGAAAAAGTAGTGCAGAAAAGGAAATAAGTGAGCTAAATTGACTTGTCGATCCAACTTTTTCTCGAGTTGGATGGTTATTTTTGTACAGTTGTTAAAGCCATCAGAGATTCTCAGAGAATCAGTCTTTTCCATGTATAGGTGATTTAATAAGCATATGCTAAGGCTATTTGTTTTCTTCCCTTTTTGCCCTTCTTTCCAGATCAACAGAAATGTACCAAAATTCCCCAAATCATTCATGGTAGCGTTGTCACCATACAATCTAATCTTGTAAATCATTCATTCGTAAGGTTACGAAAGTTAAATCGTTGAAAAGAGTTCCCCATAACTCATTTCCCATAGACTACAAAAATTTTGAAAAGGAAGCCCAACGGATCATACGAAAAACGACCAGAACCGAATCCTTTGATGCTCCCTCTCACCAACTCTACTCAAACTGAATCAAGGCCTTGACGAAAGAGTTGGCTCGTGTGTATCATGCATAGCGCCTTGTGTACTGCCGAGAGAATTCGGAGACAATGCAGCCCTCTGAGCTGCCAACGGAAATACCCTCCGAGTGTGGTTCCCTGGGCATCCTACACAGGTCCTAGAGGGGTGTACCTGCCACACTTACAAAATAAAGTATTAACCCATGAATTGGCTTGTTAACATATAAAAAGCCCCCAGTTCCAAACCATGTATACTTTGCCTACCAGTCTAAAGCCTTCGGCCTTTGATTATTCAGACTATATCGAGAATACCCAAATGGAAAAGCCATACTAAGTTTTCAAGTAGGATAGATTACCAATCCAGGTTTACGACTTTGGATTTTAGATTATAATCTGAATATTTAAGGCGAAAGTCAAGGAGAACACTTACAAAAGGGTCCTTGTCAGCCAAGAAACCATGATTTCCCTCAAAATAAATTCTGTGTCAGCCAGTTGGAGTTTTCATTTTGCTTTGCTAGGTTTGCATCTCTTGTGGGTTTTCAACCAACACACTTGTTCAGCTGCACCACAAAATTAAGACACAGTTAACATCGGTGTCCATATTATGTCTAGAAGTTAGCAATTCTCTTTGATTAGCTTCGCCTTAGTGTTGAAAACTGAAAATCCCTACCTGAAACCTAATGTGCCCAGCACATTATGACCTTTTCCATAAATTTCATCGAGCAGTTCCAGCAGTTGGCATGCACGGCATTTCATCCAACATTTGCGCTGAACGGCATAACTGGCAGGCCTAACTACATTCTCATAACCTCAACCCAATTTCCCTTCCATCTCCTTTGTCGTGACTCTTTTTTTGTTTGCTCACCTTTCTTTCCTCATTCAGTGATCAGTCTTCCCTGAAACCACATCAAGCCAAATGGTTCTTGATTCTTCCTGATTGTTGCTACTTGTCACGAGAGGCATCAAACGTGAGGCATGAAGGGTTCACTCATTATAACATCAGAATGTCCCAGATCATAATAGTTGCAGTAAAAACTGATGAACTAATCAACTTTCAGGAGCCGCTAAATTCAATTAATTGAAGAACATTTTGACTTGCATCTCTGCAAGGTTTATTTCTACATAAACAATCATATGTAATGTACATAAGGAAATCCAGGAAGAGCCTTTTTTCAGCTGTTCCACTTGAAATTTCGGAATCTTCTTGCATATTATGATAGGCTCTGTCCAATAATTTATACGTAATTTCGTCAAAACAAATGGAAAACTCACTCAACTTCTGACCCCACATGAGGGCCTTCTCAGGCATTCCCTGCTTGCAGAACTGGGACAACAACACATTAATTGTAACAGCATTCGGAAGAAACGCCAACTTAAGCAATTTAGCCATTAAAATCATAGCATGATCCAGTATGTCAATACAAGCACCATTCATCATCGTGTTGTATGTGACTGAGTCTGGAACAACACCTCTTGAAACAAGCTCATCCAGCATCATCATAGCTTGACTAATTTTTCGAGTGCTACAAAAAACCTGTATGCGTATATTATAGGTTGTAATATCAGGTTCAAATCCACTGGCACACATTTTATACAAAAACTCATCTGCTCTGACCATGTCAAATGCTTTACAATAACCACCAATTAAGGTATTGTAAGTGACTATATCTGGGGTTAACCCAGTTCGGTCCATGTCCATAAATGTATCAATTGCTGACTTCATTCTCCCCTGTTTACAGAACCCATTAATGATCATATTGGTGGTAAAGATATCCGGAAGAAGCCCCTTTTGCCTCATCTCTCTCTCTAACTTCAGTGCATCACTCAACTTCCCACGGCTGCAAAACCCGCCAATTAAAGAATTATAGACAAAATTGTTTGGCACAAACCCCTTCCTTGTCATATCCAGATATATATCATATGCCTCTTCCACTAGACCCGCTTTACATAGTCCATTGATAAATGCTGAGAAGGCAACAACATCAGGACATATCCCTCTTCTTTCCATCTCATTCCACAAATTTTGAGCCCCATCCAAATCACCAGCTCGAAAGTACCCATCCAAAAGCACAGTGAAAGCAGTTTTTTTTATAGGGAACCCCTTCTCTATCATCTTACACAAAAGCTCTCTCGCATCTTGCAGGTTCCCCTTCTTGGATAAACCCATAAGCAAAGAACTACATGTAGAAGTCGAAGGAGTTACACCAAACGTAATCATAAACTTATAGGTCTTATAGGCCTTTTGTTCTAACCCTACTCTGCTACAAGCTGCAATAATTGAGTTGAAAGCAACCACAGTCAGAGGTAATCCTTTTCCTAGCATATCCTCTAAAAATTCAATGGCATCATCCAACAGACCTGCCCAACATAACCCAGAAACCATGATGTCATACAATGAAGAATCTGGAAGCAGCCCTGATACAGATAAATCCTTTAACAACCTGTCTCTATCCTCTTCCCTTCCGTACTTGTAATGCCCTGCAATCAAGATATTAAATGTTATGCCATCAGGAGATATGCCCTTGTTCCTCATTTCTTCATAAATCATGTTTGCCTGGCCAATGTCCCGTGCTTTAATGTACCCGTCCATCATGGTATTGTATATAGTGGTACTTGGAGAAACATCCATATCTGGGATCCCATCAAAAAGCTTTCTAGCTTCCAACATATTTCCCTCCTTACATAAGGCATTTATGACAGTACTAAATGTAACCGTGCTCGGTTTACAGGCCCTTGCAATCATCAAATGCACCCAATGAAGTGCATCATCTGTTTGTCCCCTCACACAATTTGCATTGATCACAATGTTATATGTAATAACATCCGGATCACACTGAAATTTCCACATCACATGCAACAAACTCTCTCCCACCCTAAGCAACCCTTTTCTACAAAACCCAAGAATCATCGCATTAAAAGTATAATTACAAGGTTGAGGCCCCTTCCGAAGCATATCCCTAAAAACCTTCCACACGCTACCATAATCACCAACTCTAATCAACAACCTGAAAAGAATTGCAATTGCTGACAAACTCGGCTTCAACCCCACCTCCCTCATCCTACTAACAACCTCCAATGCCTCCGAACCCATTTCAGCATTCAAGAAACCTCTCATAAGAGTATCAAGAACCGAAAAATCCGACTCAAACTGACAATGACCTGCCCACATAAACCCCACCAAATCTCTACTCCTATTTGGCCCGATTCGCGCAATGACACACGAAAGCACATCCTGAGCTAGAAACCGCAAATTATCCCCTGCCAAAAAATGTGCAGCAATACAACAATTCCTCACAATTCCTTCACTATCATCTCTAAAGGCTAATTTGAAAAACCCAAATGCAGTTTCCCTAGAACCTAATAGTTTCATAACTTTTACAAGAAATAATGGGCAAAACCGTCTGGAAAAGCCCTTCAAAGCATAACCATGTTGGTTCTTTACTATCCGTGACAACCCGACTGTAACTATGCGCCTTTCATTGGAGTTTACAGAGCACAAGGATTTGGAAGTGGAGTTATTAGCAAATGGCAAAAACTGGGTAAAATAATCGAAGCCTTGAAGGCTTGTAATTAAGGTTCGGGGGGAGTTGAAGGAGTGATAGTGTACCTTGAGAGAAGGGTGCAAGCGACGGAGGTCAGCAGACATTGGAGCTCGCCTGAGAGCTGCAGTGGTTGAGCTGCGGGACCCAAAATCTGGGTCGCGTGTTTGGTGGGTTTCGAAAGGACGAACATGTTGAGACTTGGAGTTGGGCAATGAAAAAGAAATGGGCTTTTGCCCCAAAACTAGACAAGATATCCGACCCATAATTCATTTCCTAAGCCCATTTCTTTTTCATCACTATTTCTTTAGCCTAAGTTTTGCCCCAAAACGAGATAAGTTTAATGCCATGCTTTTGTGTTTATTTAATCAATTAGGGTTTTAGAGACTTGTCTGTTTTTATTTTTTTCTTTGTGGGTTCTGTTCTGCTATCCTCTGTGTTTTCCTGCCCTTAACCGAATCGAGGAAGGGGAATTTGCTTGCCTTATTCATTCAATTTCTGGTTCTCTCAAAGTTGTTTTCAAATTTTCGTTTCCTAAAAATAAAATGTTTTGGATGAACTGTCAATTTAGTCCTTGAATTATCGCCTCAGTGAAAATTAGGTCCCTAAACTATTTTTTCAGAAAAATCAGTCTTTGAATTATAAAGATCTGCCAATTACATCACTAATATTATATTCAAAGCTAATATATTTAATTTTCCGTCAATTTAAGTCACCTTACTTGCATGTGATACACATTAAAAAAATAAATTAGTAATTTTTCATAAGGAAATAATGTATGAAGTTAATTTGACTCGTATACCTTTCCGATCGCCCACCCTCCGTCGTAACCCCCTTTCAAGAATTTTCCTCCCTTGAAATATATACCCTTCCAGCCCCACGAGGATCTACTACCAAGTTTCGCTTCCATAAATGTCCAGTTCGGATAATATTTCTCTTTGAGCACTCGTGCCAACAGAGAATTAGGATACATCACCATCCTCCATCCAATTTTGGCCAAGAAAGCCAAATTGAAACAGTGTTTTCTCCCTCAACTAAAATTCATGATCATTGGTCTCTTAGCTCATCAAAATGTGCATTTATGGTTATTTTCTTCAACTTCTCTAAAACTTCTGTTAAAATGAATCACGTGCCCCGTGTGGCAGAATAAGAAAATTATAGAATGGTCTTTCAACTTTATTTCTATCGGAGAAATAGTCTATCAATTTTAACTTGATTGGTTGGAGGAATGATCCTTTAATTTTAACCAAATTGTAACAATGATTCTTTCAACATGACTCATTTTGACAGAAATTCTGATGGAGTTGATGAAAATGATCATAGTTACACGTTTTGAGAAGTTAAGAAACTAATAATTATGAATTTTTAATTAAATGATCCTTACTCTAATTTAATTGAATTAAAGTTAAAAAATCATTATTATAATTTCCTCTCTCTAATCCCCAATCCACCGACCTGCTTCCTTTTTTGCATTTTTCCCCACGCAACCAACGCTTCCCCGTATTTTGTTTATTTCCGCACCACCAGAAACGCGCAATCTCACTTTCTATCTCTTTTGATAGATGTGACATCATGCTTTCTGCAAAGTTGAAGGCTGGAAAGGCCTATTCATTCCTTCTTTCTTTATTTCCTTTTTTTTCTTTTGGCAGACACTTCACATCAAAATAAAAAGGCCACAAGTGGCGGAATCTTATCAAAAACAAATTTCAGTAATGTTTATTTTAATAAAAAAAATTATATTTTTACATTAAAAAATTAACCATTATACTATTCATTTTACCTTTTATTTTTCCGTTAAAATTTAAAAATTTCAAATCATTTTCATTAGTTTTCCTACCGATTAACCTCGTAATTAAAATAGTAACGTAATTAAAATAGTAACTTTAGTATTTCAACTGCTTTTTGTTTTCGAATTCTTTAATTTTTTTTAACTGTAAATTAATGCAGAATATTATTTGTATATAAAAATACAAAACAAAACACATATGAAAATGTCTTTGAATAACCTTTTCAATGTATCAACATCCTTTGAGAAGTAAACAAAGATGATCGATCACTAACAAAACTTTACAAATTAATCCTCCCTTCCACCATTCCATTTCAACAGGATGCTCTTTTGACTTGCTAACATCAACCAAAACAAAAACAAAATTCTTGGGTTTTTCTTGATTTCTTCTCCTTAATTTTACGTTATCCAATTGGCCACAGTTTCCTATTTACTTTCTTTTCCTTGGAATTTGAATCCTTACATCCTATCCGATCGGACATCATCCTCTCATCCTCCCCCCCTACCTTTACATATTGATCACATCCACCATGATATTGCCACGTGGAATGATCTGAAAGCTTAATAACAATCTCCACCAATAACCTGTACATTCTCAGATCAATCAGGCTACAGCAACAGACCCCGTCCGTACATTTTTGTTGGGGGTGGAGTTCTTGTTGGGATCCGACTTTCTTCTGCTGGAAGTAACCTTCCAGCTCTTCTCCTTGTTCTCATCAAACTTTATCTCTTCTTGCCTACAATCTTTACTGCAAAATGGTGTGTTACCCCTGAAAAATATAAAAATAAAAATACTCATCAGAACATGGCAAATCAAACTTCACGTAAACAAATACCGACGGATCGATATTCTAAACTTTTCTAATTTAACCTAGTAGTAAATACTGCAATGTAACGAGCGCACTGCTCTAGCAAACTAGGTTATAATACCTGTACATGAAGATGTCTGAGTTGTTTCCAAGTGGTTTTCTACAAAGATGACAGGCATCAAGGAAGTGAGGCTCATTTGTTTGATCTTCATATGTGGTGTAGGAGAACATACCAGTCCTCATGCTTCAAAAAATAAAATTAGAGGAGATGAGAGGAAGAAAATGTTGTTGGACTGGGACTGGTTGCTAATTTGCTACAAATTTGGAGCTTGCTGCAAACTTCGGTGCCAAGAACAAGAAGGTGAAAGAGTGGGGGGAGGAATTTGAAGGGCTTCTGCTGGCCTATATAAAGACTTGTTCCAGTGGACTTGGGGGAATAAGCTGCTTTATGGGTCTATTTTAACAAATTGTGTAAACCAATCAAGTTCTTTGATTGAGTCAACTTCTAGATTGCTATGTAGAATCAAAGGTTGATATTGATTGGGAGATCTATGTTTCAAATTTCTTCGATGGTCGATATTTTATTAGAAATATCTAAAAAAAATCAGACAAAGTTATGGAAATAGGGATGAAACTCTTTCGTTTAAGCTAAAATCAGCAGATATAGTCGATATTTTTTACACATGTGTTAAATATCGAGAAAACTCTTATATTTCGTCCAAACTTATGTTTGACAGTCTTTAAAATTTCATTTTAAATTTTTTTAAATTTTTATTGAAAATAATCGAAATATATATTTATCAATATTTTTATAAATTTACATATCGATGTTAATATTTTAATTGTGTACTGAGAGGCATTGGAATTTTGCTCACTTCATGATGGATATTATAAAGAAAACAATGGGTGGTGGTTTCGAGATTCCATGGGTTTCAATCTATTGGCTGCGGTGCGGTGCGGTGCATGCATTAGCATCAGTTTCTTAAAACCACTTTTTCTTTTATTTACTTTTTGCTACATTAGTTTTTGAGTATACTGCTGATTTGCCCCCTGAACTATCACCCAACTTTCGATTTTCCCCCTGAACTTTTTAATTGGAAAATTAAGGACTTAAACTAATTTTTTTGGCCGATTTGCCCCCTGCTGTCAATTTTTCATTCATTCCATCCAAATTTTTGTTAAATGGAAGCATATGCACAACATGTGTGGGTAGTTCGGTCGTTTCATTCTTTAAAATAATTGAAAACCTTAGATTTCTAAAATATAAACCTATGCAAATATGTGTGATTCTATAACTTTTGTATCTAAAGATCTAGTGAAATGACACTTTTGTCCACAAATGAGAGTTACGTGGTTTGCATATGATAAGAGTTAACGTTAATTTGGATGAAATCTATGAAAAACTAACTGTAGGGGGGAAATTGGCCAAAAAAAAATAGTTTAAGTCCTTAATTTTCCAATTAAAAAGTTCAGGGGGGAAATTGAAAGTTGGGTGATAGTTCAGGGGGCAAATCGACAGTTTACTCTTAGTTTTTTTCTGTTTTTGCATTTGGTCCCTTTTATGTTGGGTATTTTTTAGTACATCCATACACTTTTGTATTCCTTTTAATTGGATTGGAGGTTACCTTCCCCTAGACCATCGTAACGGAGGAGGTTAATTAGTGTACTTTTCTTTACTTTTAAACGATATTATCTAACTAACAAGGTAGGAGAGTGTGCTAAACATTAATGTCTCATAGTGAGCTAGTAATAATAGGATTCAAATACACCTTTGGCCAAAATCGAACCTAAGATTTTTCGCTTATAAATGAAAATAAGTACCACTAGACCGTAGTACTAAGTGGCTGTTAATTAGTGTATTAGTACCATTTCCTTTTGTGCTTGCTAAGATTAATACTAATTGCTATTTTACTAATGTTTTTTGTGTTTATGTGTTCCTCATTTGACTAACAAGGTTTATTACCAGTGAGAAGATATGATTAATTTAAAAGTTCAATGTATTAAGGGACACAATTTGGGGAAATATGTGGGAATCTTTTGTTTCTTTGTTTCTAGGTATGCTTTAGAATTAACTATTGACGGTGCATGTGAGCTTAAAGTGTAGATATGATATGGTATCTAGCTCCCAAGCAAAATCTAATCTATTGGAGATGCTACCATCATTGGTACTTTTCTTTACTTATACATGAGGTGTCTCATGTGTTTCATCTCATGTTTTATGTTTCATCTTGCTGAAAATCGTTTTAATTTATTGATTAGGCATGTAACGTGTAGGTCTAATCGAACTTAATTTAAGAATTCAAGGTAGAGATCCTCTAAAACATTGCAAATGCAAATAAACAAACTTAAATTTGACTAATAACTAGATGGAACGACTACCAAACTACCCTAAAAACTTATTTTTTTCTGAAGAAAAAACTAGTTTATAAAATTAAATTTCACTTAGATAATAATTCAAGAGACAAATCGAACTTATTACTTTTTCATATCATGAATTTTTTTGGTAACTCATTAGTTATATAATCTCTAGGTAAGTTCTAAATTCTAATTGCAAAAAGTAAAGACTCCAAGAAAAGAAAAATGAAAAGAAATTGTGGGTTATAAACTTTGGGGCAATAATGTCAAAACAATCCAATATTTTATCCTCTTTCGAAATTGTTCTTGTATTCTTCCTTAATTACAATAGCACCACCCCTGGACCACTGGCAATTTGGAGCAATCACTGGGCCCCAAAAGCCCATAAGAAATCAACAACAGAATTAAGACCACACCGTGGAGGTGACTCGGAAGGGACCCGCACCCACCAAAACATTGAAAGCTGCGGGACCCACCTGACTCAGGATCATGCTGGCTCCACTTCCAAGGTCCTTGTCTCCCGGGCCCACGACCACTGACCGTATCCCACGGGCAGCTCTTTCCTTTTATGCCCGTTGCACGTGTGCCTGAAAGGAACTACCAGCGCAACACATCGATTACCACACGTGCTACGTGGCAAGTGGCTGTGGAAAGAGACGTAATTTTGCTTGCACCATGTTCTTGGAACGGTCACGATTGTGGAGACGGGGAATGGACGGTGGAGATCGTCCCACGCTCTAAGGGTTCCAATTATGGTGGCCCTACAATTTCCATTTGGTTTCTCTCCACGTGGACCGTAGCATGTGGCTGACGGAATGAGTTGTCGAAGTGAGTTTTTATCATTGGTTGCTTCCCTAATCAATTAAGAAATGCATTTGTGTCAAGTGATCAAGCAAATGTGAGCTGCAGAATGTGGCAATTGCTATATCATTTCACTTATAAATTGGTATCATTAATTTATTTTTTTATTCTTTAATAAAAAAAACTAGTGGGTGACATCGCCATCATAGTTCATTTTTTCGGGAATTAAAAAAATTCACATAAGCATTTCAGTTTACCAATTGGAGTAGTCAATTTATCAAAGGATCATGTTGTTTTATCTAACAATGTGTGAGTTGCCGACTAACGTTATTTGAGAGATATCTGATGGAGTGAATCGATTTTACTAGAGTTTTGGTGAGTTAACATTCACTGAGTGGCTAAAGTTCCTTAGAACATCTCTAAAGGAGACGATAAATTTTAAAAGTAAAATTTAAATTTGACAGTCTATGTAGCACTGTAACATCTTTTAAAAATTTGCATCATCCGATATATTAAATTAACTTATTATTTTATTACATTAAACTATTGTAATAAATGATTTTTTTTCCGGGTAAATTACATTTTACTCCCTCAGGTTTGGGGTCGATTTCAATTCTTTACAACATCTTTAAAACATTTCAATTTCATACATCCGTTAGAAAATCTATTAAGTGATGACGTGGTGACGACGTGACTGCCAAATTTGTGCCATGTGGCAAAACAATAATTTTTTATGCATTTAAAATATTATAATAATTTATCCTATTATAAAAAATATAAAATATAAAATAAAAAACCCATCTTCTTCCCCGAGCACACCCCCCCCCCCAACCTCCCCCGCAACCCATCAAGGAAGAAACTATAAGCACCCACAAAGTGCAATTCAAATGTTATGTCCATTTCTCCTATGTGCAAAACCCAATTTTTATTCAAAGAAGTATCTTTCGCATATCCATTCAATTAGAGAGAAACCATTTTCCTGGAAAATTTATTGCTAGTGGAATACCCAATCTTTTCATTCCCGATAGTTTTCCCAGCAGCCAAACAGAACACAAAGTATAATTTAAAGATGAAATGTGCAAGGAAGAAACAGCAAAACAGAGAGAGAATTGAATTATGGTCGAAATTAGGTTTACCTATTTGAGGTCCTTCTTCTTCAGCCAATCCGAGAATCAATCTGATGGCACCTAAACCCACCCTCGGACACTGGATTATGGACTTTCGGATATCCAAAAAGAGGATTCGGACCTCGGTGAGAAGGAAATCGAAGATTGTATAGAGGGCAAAGTGCGGTCCACAGTGAGTTGTGGGTACATGTCGAGGATTCGTCCTTGGGTGGAGCGCTCGATGCCCATAGAGGAGAGGCATCCCTCGACGGACTTGAGGGAAGAGAGGGGGCAGGAGCGGAAATCTGGGTTTGGTGGAGGGCCTTTTGGGAATAGACGAGGTGGGGGTGGGGGGTTGCAAGTGGGGTGGGGTGGGGTGGGGTGGGATGGGGTGTTCTCGGGGAAGAAGATGGGTTTCTTTTTTTTAATAGGATAAATTATTATAATATTTTAAATGCATAAAAAATATATATTTTTTTGCCACGTGGCATAAATTTGGCAACAACATCATCACTTAACAGTTTACTTAACGGATTTTCTAACAGATGTATGAAATTAAAATAAAATGATAAGTAAATATATGAAATTGAAATGTTTTACAGATGTTGTAAGGAATTGAAATTAACCCCAAACCTGAGGAGGTAAAATGTAATTTACCCTTTTTTTTTTAACAAACAGTGTCATCTACACTAAGGGGGGGTGGGCTTAGCCTCACAATAGGCTAACAATATTGTGTTCAAATTCGCCTTTGGCAAAAATCAATCTAAAACCTCTCACTTACAAGTAAAAAAGAATACCATTAGACCGTAGTATTAAGTGATAAAAAGAAATGTTTTAAAACAAAATAAAAACTAATAAATTGTATTTAATACCCTTTTTTTTTTTAAGGGGCTATCAATTTTGGTAACAAGTGCGAGGGCTGCCAATCGATGCCATGTTCTACCTGATTTGACTTTTCGGTTGAAAGCATTGTTGCTGTTTTTTTTAGAGTAAATTGTAGTTATCGTCTCTTAACTTTAACTCAATTGGAGCAATGGTCCCTCAACTATAAATTTATTATTATTGGTCCCTTAACTCATCAAAATGTGCAGCTATAGTCCCTCAACTAAAAATGCATTACCATTGATCCCTCAACTTTAATTTAACTAGAGAAATGGCCCTTTAACTTTAACCCAATTGTAGCAATGGTCATTCCACCATAACTCATTTTGACAAATTTTTTGACGGATTTGAAGAAAATGACCATAATTACACACTTTGATGAGTTGAGGGATCCTAATTATATAAATGGTTATTCCAACATAACTTATTTTGATAAAATTTTGACGAAATTGATGAAAATGACTATAGCTACACATTTTGATAAGTTGAGGGACCAATGGTAATGGATTTTTAGTTGAGGGATCATTGCTCCAATTTGATTAAAGTTGAGAAACCATTGCTACAATTTATTCTTTTTTTTATTTTTTATTTTTACCGTTAGTGGTTATTTGAACATTTTGACATCTCTTTTGAAGATGTGATATTTTATAGCACGACATAATTTATTTAATAGTTTTCTAATATACTATACCATTCACTTAGTTTGCGCTTGGTCGAAAGCAAGGTATAAAATATCGATGATATCGGAAATATCGGTAGTCCAAAAATACGGAAATATCGGAATATTATCGATATCGATAAAAATTGAATAAAAACCATGGAAATTGTAAGAAAAACTTGGAAATTTTTATTGAAACTTTGGAGAATGTTTATTTAGTCAATTATCTATTAGTTTATCAAAAAAAAATTAGAAGGAAATGCATTACATGATGGATTTAACTGATTTAAGTTGATTATACAGCGAGCTGGCAAACACTGTGAGTGTATAAAATATGCAGTAATTAATGAAAAAAAGATTAAACACACCATAATCATTTATATATAATGATTTACTACAATATTTTACACTTTATACATTGCATGGTAAGATACATGAGTGATTTAGTACCACATAAAGTTCATATGAGGTTCAACTTTTTCACTATCTTCATCATATCTATGTGTAGCGTAAGTTTATTGTGAAGAGTATTCATCAAATGATAAATCCCCAAAATAGTTTTGCATGTAATTGTTAACATGCCACTTATATAAATTAATAAATATAAATATTTTAGTATATTATCACTAAAACATAAGTGATATATCGTGGTTAAGGTGTTGGAGGAGTAAAATGGGAGGGGTTCAAAATCCCCTTTGTGTTTTTTTTCCTCCCTTTTTTCCCTTTATTTCTTCTTTTTCTTTTAAACTTTAAAAGATCACACAAAAAATCAATGATACACATCATTGTACAAGATTGCAGGATGAGAATGAACGTCTCGAGGACAATATGAAAATATTCAAAATAGAAAGTTTCAAGTGGTGTATTGCCCTAATGAAGAAGAGTTGTATTCGAATTAGAATAAGGTTGTGTTATCGACACACTTATTTTTTACACACTACTCTCAATTTTCAATTGATCGGGATCAAATGAAATTAAACAAGATCTATGAAAAAATTAACAGGAATATATGCAAGGTACAAAGTGTATGTGGAAAACGCTACATTTTAAAATAATAATCTCACTATGTGGAGTAAACAAAATAATAACAAATAGAAGAATAAAAAAATCTGCCACCACTTCTTTCTTCCCTACCCTGCACGTGAGGTCAGAGGGATGATTTTAAAATCTGCTACCACTTCTTTCCCTCCTTCATAATATCCCCCTCCCCAATTCTCTTTCCCCATCGCCTGTCCAAGCCTCTCCTCTCTACTCTCTCTCTCTCTCAAAACCACAACTTTTTCTTCCTTTCTCTCTCTAGAAAAACCACACCCTCCATTTTTCTTTCTTTCCATCTATCTATATCTTTGAAAAAAAAACAGAAGAAAAAAAAATGGAGGAAGAGAGAGATCGATCGATCGATCAGAATTTGAGTGAAAAAAATGGCACAGAGAGCCGAGAAGGAAGAGACAGAGTTCAAGGTCCCCGAAACTCTAACGCACTACGTCAACAACTGTGGCGTCACCGATAATCCCTCCACCAACAACTTGTGCCAGAAGTGCTTCAACACCGCCACCACCTCATCGTCGTTTTCGTCCGCGGCGATTTTCAAGCTTTCTGCGGAGAAAAGTCCGATATCTACCTCATCCTTCAGCTTCGAGGCCCTAGCCGAGACCTTTCGGAAGACGACGGCGTCGGAGATCGCGAGATCGGACGAATCGCTGAATAGGCGCGTGGTCAATCGGTGCTCCGAATGCCGGAGAAAGGTCGGGTTGACCGGATTTCGGTTTCATCTCGCGATATTATCGATATTATCAATAATATCGCGATATATTTCCCAAATAATGTATTAAAATGCTGAAAATATCGTTTCCAATATTATCGCGATAATATCGACGAAAATATCAATATATGATAATTAAGTGGATACGTGTGAAAATATCGTTCTCTAAAAAAAACGATATTATCAGCGAAATATCGCCAATAATATCGATATTTTGGTCATTGGTCGAAAGTAAGTAATTCTATTTGTTCTAAATAGTTGAACATGTTGGTTAACCTTTACGTTACTTGTGATAAGAAGTTTGGTAAATATAAATACAAAGCACTTGACGCTAAAAGTATTTGACATATTTGAGAGTTTTGTTCTCTTATTTCGTCTTTCTTGGGACGAATCCGTGCGTTTGAGTTATGATTTTAATGTTAATTTTATTTATTGGTACAACATTATTGTTAATAATATTTTTTGTTTGTTGAGAGTTAATGATATTAAATTAGACACGTATCGTTCTTGTGGGATATTAGAAAAGAATAATCAACTATCAAGGAGCTTGCATTATATGAACATATTATTTGGTTGTCGGGGTCCAATGCTTATGTGTGCATTCAATAATTTGTATGCATTCTCTTTGTATTTAAAAATAAAATATGCAATGTGTATTATTAGAAAAATAATACAAATAATAATACATCGAAAACGACTAATTTTCAGTCTTGGAGGCTTTGAGCCATCTCTCTCTCTTTCTAATTTGTCTTCCACTTTGTTGGAACTAAAAAGGAAATTTGAATCCAAAGAAGTGAAACACCATGAGCGATGTTGAGGTCCGGAATTCAAAGTGAAATTTTTGTACAATCAACTTTAATATTAAACCCTATACTAAAATGCAGAAAAATTAAACCCTATACTAAAATTCTTATGTTGCAGCTATGAAGCACGGATACAAGAGCGGAGTTTAGCAATTCATAAAAATTCAAAATTTATAGGTTCGGAAGGGGCATGAATTCCCTTACTTAAAAACAACATTAAAATATTTTTTTTTTGTCGAAGATGAAATATTATTAGATATAAATTGAAATGTTTACATCAGAAGCCAGAGTATTAAACAATCGCTCTGGTTAAAAGCAGTCCCACATATGGTAGGCCCCCACACGCGTGACGTAAGTTGCCACCAGATGCATAGCCTCATTACAGGCTAAAGGGGTGAAAAGAAACTCTACTGAACTCAATTGCTGCTTAATATGATGAATGTCCTAGATAACACCTTCCATGACAGCCTCCTGTAACGACCTGTCCCCAAATATCTTGGTTTTTATAATTTTATTGCATAAATTTACGAAAATTCCCTTCAAGGAAGAAATGTTGACTTTTGTTGATCGTCTTGTCATGTCACATAAGATTCATTTCCTTAGCTTATCCTTGTAGCACTTGTCGTTACGAACGCGTGGGCGCAAACATAATGTAATTTGGAGTTTTAACAAAAGAGTTATAAATGAACAAAGTTGAGGGCAAAATGGTCATTTGACCATAAATCTAGAGGGCTCCAAATTTGATGGAGCAGCAATCTGGAAGCCACGTGTGTGGTTGTGATGGAAAGAAGAGAAGAGAAATGAGGGAAATGAGGGAGAGACGGGACCAATCAGGAGATGAGAAGGGAGGGAAAAGAAAGAGGGAAAGGGTTAGACAACCCGAGTCCCCTTGGCCCGTTTCTCTTTTTGCGACCCAACTTGACGGAAACAATGGTTTCTGATGTTTTCTCCAGCCAAATTTAGGTGAATTACACCGAATTATCACTTGGAAACAAATCCCCGACCTTCCCTCTCCCATTTGCACCCAAAATTCGATGGAAATTGGCCTCAAATTGGGTAAAATGCACCGATGGGTTTCGTGGGTGCACGGTGGCGATCAACCGTTTCTACAAGCATCACTGTTGACCACCACCATGGTTCAACTCTTCTTGAGCCCAGGAACAAACCCCAAACAAGTGTAGGGGCGGCGGAGCTGCGGATTTGCCGAATTAAGGTTCACTCGTTTATAGGGTTTCCAGTGGATGTAGGAGTTTTCAGGCTACTTCCCGGCCGAAATGGACTTTGGCCCAGGTAAGAGAGTTCTTCCCTTTGATGAGCTCTACATTCCTGTAAAATTTGGTGAATTTTAGAATTGGTCGGAATTTGTAGTTTCTGTTCGTCGGAAACCGCCATATGCAATGGCATGTGGTCTTCTGGGTTGCCGTCTTGTGGCAGCTGCGTCGACGCGTGGGGGAACCCGAGCTCCTTCCTTAGGTTTTTTGATGTGCTGGATCTGAATCGCCATCCGTTTTCCCAAATTCTAATATTTTAGTAAAGTTTATTAAATGGTCTCTAGTTGTGTTTATGTGTGTTAGTTGGAAGTGATCCCATCTTCTCTAGTTCGAGCGGTTCCCCATCAACAAAATATTTTTGCAAACCTTCCAGATAAAATGGCGAAGCTTGGGAGGAGCCTTCAAATGCCATAATGTCGAATAGGATCCTTGATGTGTTCCGCACTTGATTGTCCCACACCCTTTCGCCCAAGCTCCCCACTTCGATTCATCTCTTGAGCAACCATATACCCGGATTTAACTGAATACAACCCATTTCGTGTATAATGCCAAATAATTCGATCAGGGCACCCAAATTAACTAATCGGCATACTTAAAAATAATACGGGCTTCCTCATTATTAAAATAACGGCCAATAATATCCTTCTTCCATTTACCTCCTGGGGCCATAATATCGTCAACCATTTCTGGCATCTCCACGTGGCACAAAAGAAGGAGAAAAGTACGCGGAGTAAGCAACCAGGGGTTCTTCACAATCTGAATGCTCCTAACATCCCCAACCCTCCATTGTATTCCACCTTTCAATATTTTTCTCCCCTACAAAATTCATTTCCATCCCCAAGAAGTACCTCGTCCCACTGGTGCATCCAAAATAGACGATGAAGGCTAGTATTTAGGTCGAAGAACTTTAGCCAAGAGAGAGTCCGGATTACATATAATGCGCCACCCAACCTTCGCAAGCATAGCTAAGTTAAAGGAAATAATTTCGTTGAAACCAAGCCCTCCAATTGCTTTCCCTTTTGCAACTTTACTCCAAACCATCCAATGAACTCCCTTCTTTGCTTTTCTGGTCCATCCACCAAAATTGTGCAATCACTTGTTCAATTTCCTTTGCCAATTTAATGGGTAGCTGGAAACAAGACATTGTATAATTAGGTAAAGCAGCAGCCACACTTTTAAGTAGTACCTCATTCCCATCAACCAACAGAAACTGTTCCGCCCATCCATTAATTCTCTCATCCAGCCTATTCCGTACATCTTCGAACACTTTCTTTTTGAACCCCCAAACTCCACTTGGAGACCCAAGTATTTTCCAAAACTCTCCTAATATTTAATCCCCAAAACCTCCGATAACCTAACTTTCAATACTTGTGGACAACTAGAGCTAAAATAGGCTGAACTCTTCTCTAGATTAATAAATTGCCTAGACCCCTCGACATATTGTTGGAGTAAACAATTAACATGTGTAGCCTTTGTTTCTGTAGCCTGGCAAAAGAGAACCAAGTCATCCGCAAAGAAGACATGGGAAAGGGGCTCGGCAAGGTGGTTAACTGTCATCCCCCGAATGCGTCCAACCCTCTCCTCATTTTGAATTAGGGCTGAAAAACCTTTGTCACAAATTAAGAACAGAAAAGGCAATAAAAGGTCCCCTTGACGAAGTCCTCTATATGGTGTGATATATCATGTGGCCTCACCTTTAATAACCACACTATATGAAACGGTTTGCACACACTCCATCACCCATTGGCATAATATATCGTCAAATCCCAATTTGTGCAACATAGCGTTCATAAAAGGCCATTCAACTCGGTCATAGGCTTTCGCCATATCCAATTTTATCGCCATAAAATTAAGGGAACCTTAACGAAAAGCTTCTGGTACTGTTCACTTTAACGAAAAATCACATTTTTATACTAAAAAGTCAATCCTGATACTATTCACTTTACCCTTTATTTTATCTTCATCGTTAAAACTCAAAGTTTTCAAACTCTTTTCATTAGTTTTCCTTAAAATTAATACCTTCATCATTTCCTTGCTTCATGGAATGTAGCAACTCGTGAACCACTAAAATATTATCCGAAATTTGCCGTCCCACAACAAAACTTTCTTGCCATTGCAATTTTCAAATACAAAATAAAACATAACAAATTCAACGTACATAACAAAAGATGAGAGAGTTTTAGGACAAGTAGACAAGTAGTTTTACTAGAGTAAAAATAATCCTCCTGCAGTGAAATTACCATTACTTGGTATTTTGAGAAAGTTTTAAAAGAGTAAGTTACCTTTTTCACCCTTTACAAACTTCACATAGTTGCCTACAAATCCATTGACAAACTACACACTTTGAGAGGACAAAAGAGGAATAATGGGGAAATTAGGATTGAATGCCACTTTGCAATCGAGTCCAGGAGACTGGAATTATTTCTGAAATTACTTGTGATACGAAGCTGACGTTTCTAACTATCTCCAAGGATTGTGAAGGATGCTCCACTAGAAATATTTCTTGTTATTGCTTCGACTCATACTCTCTGAAAAGTGGATGGATCCCTTGGATTTTATAACAACTATATTCTACATGCTGAATTGTATAACACAAAGTATTGACTTCTTTTTGTTTTCTTGGATGAAACAAGAACATCAAATTCCGGTATTATTTGTTCACCAATTCCACATTCAACACACAAGTACAAGAGAAGTAAAATAACATTTTGGAGAAAATATTGGCTCCAAGAGACCAATCAGTGTCGAATTGCATCACCTTAAAGATACGACAGAGGGTACAAAAACCGACTCGATCAACATCACACAAGTACCAGTAAAACTAGCCGGTGAGCGCAGAGTTGAGGGCACTATGCACATCGACTCCAATCTGGGCTTCGGCTTTCTCCAAGTCAGTTGACGCTGAGTTCAGCTTCTGGTTGAACTCTGCAAGCCCCTTCTGGACAAGACTTGCATCGACACGGTCAAGTGGGACTGCCTCTACAGCAATTATGTCTGCAATAGAGTTGGCGTGGATGAATGCAAAACCACTGCTGACAAAATACTTTGTGACATCAGTTCCTTCATGTACCGACATGACCCCGGGTTTCAACTCTGCAATTGTTGCTACATGTCCAGGAAGAACACCCATATGCCCAGTGCTCGCTGGTATTATTACCATGTCAACCTGTTAAGATATGAATTGTAGAAACTAAGGAATATAGTACAAAATCCATGGATATCGAACCAAATACAAACAATTTTAATGCAAAACAAAACTCTTGGCATCGCTTCTTTGGATTACTGGTGCACACAATCAACAGATAATGTTGCTGCTAAAAAGTTTGTTCTCAACAGTCATAGAGTTTGGCAACAGACATGGTGACCTCACTTACAAAAGAAAAAATTGAATTTAACATTATCAAATTCTGTTAACTCTATCAATTTCCACTTTGGCGAGAGACTTTGAGTCATAAATTTTTTTTATTTTCTCTGCAGAAGATGGAACTCAGCTTCAAGAAACTAATCTCAGATAACATTAAAAATAGTCATGCAATTATGCAACTAATCATTGTGTTTAGTTCCATATATTTACTCTATCAGAAGCAAGTTATGCTGAAAGTTTCAGTTTCAGTTTCAGTGCAGTCTATCAATGTCAGAAATGGCAGTGAAAAGGATAGTAAAGAGGGTGTTCAATGATTATCCAAGTCCAACGCTATAAATGCAAGACCCCTATGAAACTGAGGAGGGAGAGCATGTTGATCTCAAAATGCATCACCAAAAACTTTTTCTTAATTTGTGGAGAAAGAGAGATTCATTTGGTTTTACTGGGACAAAGCCATCTTTAGTTCCATATGGGATAAATAAAACAAAAATATTGGACAAGTATAATATGCCATGATGTACTTACCCTTGCTATTTGAAAAGATTCACAGAGCAGTAAAAAGGAAAATATGACACCATTCGTATAATATGGAACGTAACTTTCAGTTTTCAAATAGAAGTAACCTAGATTATGCACAGGAGCAAATGCATTACACAAAACACACAGGTAGAAAACTAACAATTTAAAATCAACGGGACCTTGACATTTTTTTGGGTATGCAACCATGTACTAAAGTCCGCAAATTTTTTAAAAGGGAACCTCAAATGCATTAACAAAACACACATTTTCCAGAACTTTAGCTCAAATGCATTAACAAAACACATTTTCCAGAACTTTAGCTTTCATTACAAGCAGTATTGGTTTCTCCTCGGATTGAAAAGTCCGCAAATTTTTTAGAAGGGACCTTAAAATGTCCACATCTGTTCACATGTGAATTTGAATTATTTTAAATAGTTATGACTTGTAAGAAAGAAAAATGTACTACACTTAAAGCATCCTTACATAAACTAAATTGAGATGAAGTTCAGCCTACAACAATAACGAATGAAAACATGGGAGTATATTGCAAAAGTAAGTGTGATATACAATAAGGAAGTGGAATATGAGTACTAGAAATGTTTGAAAAAATATGAAAACCAAGTAATAAGTGCAGGTCTAAATCTTTCATTGGTCAAGAAAATCAAACACTACGGATTCAAAGTTCCATTTTCTTTTCTTCCAACACCGTCAACAGAAAAGTAACCAAAAGGGATCAAAGTGAAAACATGGATAATGAGGATTGGAAAATGCTATAATGCATCCATTCAAAATCCGAAACAGATAAATGCTTAAAATCAATCTAGCAAAGACATTTTATGTAACAAGCATAATCAGCACGATTTAGATGTAAGTTTGACATCAAAACAAAATACTAAAAGACATTCGCAAAGAAACTCAAAACACAGAGTCTCATACAAGAAACAGCACAAAAATATTAATATGGCGGCATCTTTTGTAAGTACTGTGAAGATATGTAGACCTATTAAATGGAAAGATTACATTCACTAATATATCATAAACCAGTTTCCTACATTGATCAGTTTATCACAGATGTACAATGACACTGCACTTTCAAGTCGTATAGCAAAAAATGCTTGAATCAATCAAGAATTTGAAATTAGCTCCAGCCCTAGTAAATTAACATTTTAAAACCAAATCCATATAAGTTCCCAACGAAATCAAAGCATGAGAATCGACATTAATATCGAATTAGCTCCAAACCCACCTAGACCTACTAAAAACAACAGAATACCCAAATGAGTTCACATCAAAGAAGAGATAACAAATTAAATCTCAAAACCACAATTAACACCAAACCCAGTAAAACCAACATTAATTATACCAAACCCATATCACAGAAATGTCAAATTAAACACCAGATCAAATATTTGAGAAACCCCACAACAAATCTCTCCGAAACCGACCTCTTTAGCCGAAAGCTCGGACGCATAAGGGAGCACAAAGTTGACAGTTAGCTTAGTGGGGATCGACGACGGGGTAGCAGGCCGAGGCTTCATGAAGGTCAATGGGGTCTTGGGGGGGTCTATGTGCGGGACCACTTTCTTCCAGGCGTCAGTGAAAGTCGAGTCCGCTGGGACACTCTCAGCGACGTCGGTGGAGAAGGGCCGGGCCCTGAGGGGAATTGTGGATCGGGTCAAGAGGGTGGTGGCTCGGCGGAACATGGTGGCGGAGTGAGGGGTCGCTCGGGTTTCGCAGGGTCGGAGAGAGAGTATGGGAGGTTGGGGGGAGGGTTTTGGTTTGTGTTTCGGAAATGGCACTGCCGTTTCGGCTTGTGGAATGGAGGAGAAATGGGTACGAATTTTGTTGAGGGCTGTTGTGGGCTTTGTCAATGGACTTTGATATTTGTAGTTTGGGCCCATTGGACTCATTAGTAAAGATTAGATTATCCCAAATCATTTGTTATTTATTACCTACCGATAGCGGGTAGGGTGTCCCCTGTAGAACATAGGTCGAACTCAGGTTTCCATGCAAACAATTACTTTAATGCTCTGCATTATTACAAATTTACGCTATTAGGCTTGCTATTTTTATAGATTAATGTGACAACACTTAATTGACTGGGTAGTTTTATTTAGATTCAAGCCTTTTGTTTGTCTAATTTCATTCAGTGGCGGATCTATGAATTTTTCTTTAGGCAAACGAGGTATAAAAGCTTGCTGTGGTTTGTTGGTGGGTAGGTTTTCATGTTGGTGGCACCAAAGGGATTGGGGAAGGAAGTTGGGACGAAGAAATTCGAGTCAAATTAGTTTGAAATGGAGGAAGAGTGCCAAAAATGGCTGTTGATTTTGGGTAGAGAAGAGATTTTACCTCTTCCTTCCTTGCGCTCGGATACACCATTGTTGCCAATCTCATCTTTTCACTACCTTGGCTTTCCTAGTCGTTGGGTGGGCAAAATTAGGTCAAGTGGGGAGTTTTTTTTTAAGGAAATGCCCCAAAATGGGACAATTTCTTAATCTTAGGACATAAATAGGATATTTCGAATATGCACATGGCATGCACACTCCATGCACAACAATATGACAAAAATAGAATTTTTCCTACACCTTGAAATGACCAAATTGTCCTCTCATATAAATGGGTTATCCAAAAATTCCAACCTTCATTTCTCATGTTGTAGAGAGAGAAACAAAGAGGAGAGAGAGAGAGAGAGAGAGAGAGAGAGAGAGAGAGAGAGAAAATCTCTCTCTCTCAAATCCAATTCGAAGAACCGTAACCCACCCATCTTCTTCATCCAAAAGCTCTCTCTCTAACCCACCCATCTTCTTCATCCAAGCTCTCTTTCTTTCTCTCCCTCCCTCTCTCTCTCTCTCTCCTCTCTCTATATTTCGAATATGCACAAGAGCTCTCTAACCCATCTTCTTCGACTTTTACCTTTTCATGTGTAGGTTTTGTGAACTGAGTTTGCTTAATTTTGCTTTTTGATTGATGGATTTTGGAGTTGAAGTAATTGGTTTGGTGTTTATTGGAGGAGACCCAAATCCTTCAATTTTGATTTTTTATATTTTATCATTTCTCTTATTTATATGTGGGTTTTCATTTATTATGTCTTTTCCCTCCCTTTACTCCTCTCTCGATCCAAATTTAGAAGCACTAAAATAGGGTTTGGCTTTTGCTACAATTAAATGAAAAACTTTATTAAAGGTTAGTTGCCTTTTGGAGAATAGATAAATTTGAGGGAAAAGAGAGAAATCGGAGTGGAAAGATGGAAGGAGAAAGATATGGACAAAATTGTTTTGCATACTCGTTTCCTCTCTTCATATTAAGCTCGCTCATACATTGTATGTACACGACATGCACATGGCATGCACATGACATGCATATCTTATGCTCGTAGATTTGAGCTCAACCCGAAAACCCATAGCTCACAGCTCTCTTTTCGAAATCAGAAAATGACACAATTAGAAAAATGACCCTAAACTTTATATGAAGAATCAAATATTCATTCATTTGAATTTGGTATCAAATTTGATTGGGTTAAAATTAGGGATGGGCAATGGTTATTGCGGACGGGTAATTGAGGTTAATTTACCCATAACCGTTTATTCTTATACCCGCATAACCGTTTACCCGTTGGGTAATTGCCTAAACGGTTATACCCATACCCATAACCGTTTATAAACGGTTAACCATACCCATAACCGCATACTCATTTAACCGTAACCATTTAATACCTGTTTACCCATTTATCATTTTTAACCCGTTTATCTTTTTTTTTTTTTTTTACCATTACCCTTTTTTCACAAGTCTACATGTTTTTTAACAACTTGAAAATTTAAAAAAAAATTTGTCATAATTTTTTTTTTTGACAATTAAACAACGTTATAGGTACATTCATCATACATTTCCATATTTTAATTTTTTAAGTCCTTATACCATTCCAATAATTGAAATAATAGTTTACGAATGATATTTTTAACTGTTACCAATGAAGTTAAATATAATATTTGCTAAGTATTATTGGGTTACAAAAATTGTTTAGAAGACATTTCTGTCAAAGCATTTCTTTCAATTTCACGGTTACCCGCAAGGAATTTAAATTAATTTGGTTAATTCCTTGATGATGAGAATCATCATTCCTGTAGTAGTGTTATTGAGAGAAGGACCGATGAATTCCTTGCTAATTTATTGGGTGCTAAGTATTATTGGATCGAGAACATGGTTTGTGTTAGTTTTACATATATAAAATAAATGGGTAAACGGTTACCCATTTAAAACCGCGGTTAATACCCATAACCGCTTATTTAAATTTCGCGGGTAAACGGTTATACCCATAACCGTTTATTTATCTAAACGGTTACCCATAACCGTAACCGTTTAATTTAAATGGGCAGGTAACCGCGGTTACCCATAATCAATGAGTATTTGCCCATCCCTAGTTAAAATATTTCAAGAATTTCAAAATTACAGTTTGAATGGGCAGGAAAGAACCCAACTGAATCAAAGAAAATTGTTTCACGAACTCGTTCGCTTTTTTTGTATTTGCAGGGCCTGCCTATGAATTAAAGAAAAAAGTAGTAAACTGCGTCAATGCGAAGAGTATCAAAGATGTAAACACGCACCATATACACTATATGCACACCACATGCACATCATATGTACAGTACATGCACATGATATGCACAAAGCAGAAGAAACTTTAACGGCAACATATTGGTATAGTGGATACAATTAAAACATAATTGTTACATATATAAGGTTACAGTGACAGTTTGAAAAATCTTGTTATGTATATCAACCACCACTTAGCCGTGCACGTGAAAAACATGATACTCGTTATCGTTATTTCATAGACACGCATGACCCTTTATGTCCTTTAAGCATTTTTTTTAAAAAAAATTTCCGCTAAGGCCAACTAGGTTGTGGTCACTCTCGCTAAATTTTGGGGCACAACATATGTGCAACATAACTAGTAAACATTCCCACTTCTCATATTAAGATGTGGCTATGCACACCACATGCACATTGTGGGAAAATTTCACAAATTTCTACAGTTGGAAACTTGAACCAAAAATTGTTTCATCCCAGTTTTCTAGCACGTCAAAACTTGAAATTTATTCCACAACCTATACGCCCCAACATGAAACACAAACCCTAATTTAACTTCTAAGTATTAATTCATCTTACAAACAACCCATTTATTCCATAAATCATTGATGAAGGAACTTGGAACTAAACACACTACCTTACTATGCCTACCAAAGCTTTAGTCGCCAGGAAAAAATGAAACTTTCCGGCCAAAACAGAAATTACGGTATAAAACCCAGCTCACTCTTCTCACCTCTTTCTCGCATCCCCTTGTTCGAAATCAGAGGTATGAGGTCAACCCAAAACCTAGCTCACTCTTCTTGCCTCTCTTTGGACTTCTCTCTTTTCGAAATCGGAGCTCAAAGATCTAAGCTCAACCCAAAAACCCAGAACTCACAGAGCTCTCTCGACATGTAACGACCCATCCCCAATTATTATGATTTTTATAATTTTAATACGTGAATTTATGAAAATGCCATTCGAGACAAAAAAATTGACTTTTGTTGATCACTTTGTCTTGTCACGTAAGATTCACATCCTTGGTGTATCCTTGTAGCACTCGTTGCGACGAACGCGTGGGTGTAAACGTAATCGGATTTGGAGTTACGATGAACGTTTTACAAAACTTCGAAGTTGAGGGGCAAAATAGTCATTTCACTATACTAGATATTGGGGTAACATATTGTTATTATTTTAATAATTTCTGTCACATGGGGCCTACACCCCACTTCTCCCTCTGCCACATGTTCCCTTCCCCGATTCCCTCTCTATCTAGAACTCTTTCTTCCTCTTTTTCCCTCCATTCTCCCTATTTCCTCATCGAGAAACACTTATCCTCTCACCATTATTCCTCTATCTCCGAGCATACTACCACCCACCCCTCGCAGCTTCGACGACCACAACATCCTCCACCACGGGTCACGACAACGAACCACCATCGCCACTATCTGGATCTCACCGTCCCGACCCCAAGCCTAGGCCGTAAAACTTTGGCAGTGTCGGAAACCATTGTTCATGACTTTTCCCGATGAACCCACGGCGAGTTCTCGACATCCCCGATGTAGGTAAGTACCTAGAACCCTTTATGTGGTGTCTTAGGGTTGGTTTAGGGTAGTTGTTAAGATATTTTTGCATGTTGGACGCAGAACGGCCTGGGGGAAACTTCCCCAGTTTTCTGGAGAGGACTACAACCTTTGCAGGCATTTTCTGGCTAGCTCTGGCCACGACTCATGTCCTACTTAGGTACATTTCTATTCCTTACATCTTGAGCTTTTATTTTGGCTTTTGAATATTTGAATTTGTACTGAACCTGTTATAGCCATTTGAAGTTTCCCGACCACTTCTCCTACGCTTCTAGCCTTCTTCTTCATTGGGTCCAACAACCCACGAACTTAACTGGGTCGACCTGACCTGCAGCCCTGAAACCCAATTTAGAACGCAACCCTAAACCAGCCCAAACATCGGGGCCAGGTAAACTAGGCCTAAACCCAATACATTAACTCGACCCAACTCAACAACCCTAAACCCTGGATCCGGCCCGACCCGAACTTATACCCAGGTTCCATGGTCTGTTCGTGGTGGCCGGCACGTGGAGCACACGCACATTTGTCGGAGGTACTATGCTCTGCCGCCGTACACGGCGGTGTCGGCGACTTTTCTAGCAACCCTTCTCGGCGCGTGGGGGAACTCGAGGTTCCTCCGTAGGTTTTTCAATGTTCCGAATCCGAATCAGCTGTTTGTTTTCCCAAATTCTGA